TGGCCCCCTTCATTTTGACCACAGTTAGGCTTGGCCCGGAGCCAGAGGCCAAGGAGGGTGCCCCTTTCATTTTGACCACAGTTAGGCTTGGCCCGGAGCCAGAGGCCAAGGAGGGTCCCCCTTTCATTTTGACCACAGTTAGGCTTGGCACGGGGCCAGAGGCCAAGGAGGGTCCCCCTTTCATTTTGACCACAGTTAGGCTTGGCCCGGAGCCAGAGGCCACGGAGGGTCCCCCGTTGAAGAAAAAACATTTCGACCACAGTTAGGCTTGGCCGGGAGCCAGAGGCAGGGTCCCCCTTTTCATTTCACAGCCTTGGAGCCTTGGAGCCTGCATCTTGACTCTCTTTCGCTGAAAGAGGGTCTCATTCTAGTCAGGTTCTTCACTCAGCATGCCTGGTCGTACCGAGCTGTCTGCAGCGAGGCAGATTCAAGGCCAGAAGCAGTAGAACACAAACGTACATGAGGGCAGGGTGCTTTGAAACTAAACCTTGTGGCCTTGACGACGATGGGTCGATGTCGATGCGGTCCCTCGCAGCATCGAATCATCCTGGCGACAGCCAAGATCCGCTGTCAAATTAATTAAACTTGACTGTCCAACGCAGCACGGGTCCTGACAGCTTCCTTGGCGCTGCGGCCGTGGACCACGCTTGCCCATCTCCCTGCCTGCAAAGAACGACATGTGAACCAGGTTACATGTGGAATTTGGGTGCGTTCACATGACTCACGACACTGGCCTCTGCTTTTTCGGACAACCCCCGCGCTGAGAATTAAAATAATTGAATTAGGGATCCCAGCCAGTCTTGCGCCAGACCTTGGAGCCTGGGAACCTGGTAGCCGCGACACGCCCTGCAAACAGCTTGTCACGACGCACTTCACCACTTCGGCAAGATGCAACGCACGGCACTGTGCGGAATCGGTTACAACGAGGAAACTCACTGCATCTCACATTGCATGCAATCTTGCCCCCATGCTCGGATATGCTGCTAACTGAACACACGAAGGCTATGAAAGTCACACCCTACTAACTAACCCTGAAACCCTTTAACCGACTCTAAACACACGTTAAACCATACGAGCCATCATCAAATAAAAATGGAGGCTCAGTCGAGTCATTTCTGATTCAGACAGAGCTCCGGCCACCGCCGCTTTCCGGGGTCTGGAGCACAGCCGACCAACACAAACAGCCCCCATTTACCGGCTCGAAGCACCTTTGTGCAGCACGTGTGACTTGCAGCGGGGCAATTGGCTAAGTCGCTGCGTGTTTTCCACAGCTCGGGCCACTGCTTGCACCACGCTCTCAGTCCGGCCTCCCCCTTGGGCATGAAGGGATTCCCGGTCTCCACCTCAAACACCACGCAAGCATAGGCCCACATATCCACAGCTGCAGTCAGCAGCTGCTTTCTGACACCGCAGTCTCCATCGCCATTCACACGAGCGGGCCACAGCTCCGGAGGTCGATAGGCAGCCGTGACATACTGCAGGAACCTGGGAGCCTGAGAAGCCTTCTGGAGCCGTGCCATGTTCTCACTCATGCCGAAGTCGCACACCTGCACCTGATCTGTGCAAGGGCACCAAAGAACATTGCCAGGTTTCACATCCAAGTGTAGGATGCCTGCGTCATGCAAGGTCTGCAGTGCACTTCTCAGCTGAGCTGCCACAGACCACGTCCTCGGCTTGCCATGCGCCGCAGGATTTCGAAGTGCGGTTGCCAGGCTGGGCCCACATAGGCTAGTAGCCATCCATGGCCAAGGTCTGCCCGTGACACCCGAGCTGACAAGAAGCGGGAACCACATCATCTTCTGCTGCGGAACGGCCTTCATTAGAAGCTTCATCTGCTCCACTTCGTGCCTGCAATCCGCGGGGCCATCGGAGCCACGATAAACCTTCACCGCCACGTTAAGGCCGCTTTGCGGATGCTGGCAACTGTAGACACTGCCATAGGCTCCGCCTCCAATTGGAGCCCTTGCACCATTAAGCTCAAATGGGCCAACGCGACCGCCAGATTCGTCAGCGGCAGGGGGGTCCTTCGCCTCGTCGGGGCCGCCCGCACTGGTCGTGGAGCCCCGCATCCTGATGCCAAGAACGGCCAGTGCACTTCGCTGAGCCATGAACTCATCTTTGCTCCTCGCCATGAATGGTGCCTTCTGCTTGTCGGTCATGCCCTGCCAGACTGCGCCAAGATGCTTCATCTCATTGAGAAACTCGTGCTTGGGAGCGCCTTTCTTGACTTCGGAGTTTTCCTGGAACCAGATGACGAAGGCCCTTCGAGCCTTGGGGACCAAGCCGTCTTTCACAGCCTGCTTCCGCAAGCTCTGCGATTTGCTGCCACCATGCTGGCACCCCCGGGGCATCCGACGAGAAGCCGTCTTGAGACTGGTTTTGCCCCAGAGGCGTCTGGTAGGCCTCCATCGGCAGCCCATGTCGAACCCAAGCAGGGAACCTCAGAGCCTGGGAACCTGGGGCCATAACGGCTCGCTTTAATGCATTCAGGCGACTACAACAACATCCTCGGCGAGTCCTATTTCAATGTCATGCCACAATAAGAGCATTTCGGCTTTTTCAGGCGACAGTAGTCACTGCTACACACTACTGACAAAACTGAGCCCGGCAAAAGGTCAAGAGCCTGAGAACCTGGGAGCCTAGGTGCCTGAGCTGGTGCCTGAGCTGGCGGATTCGGTCGAAGTGAAACATCATCACTGCGGTTGATCGCGGGGGCTATCTGGCTCAGCAGGTGCCTCGTCCTGGTCGTCTTGGTTGGACAAGCTCTCCAGAACGTGCGGGAAATGCTTCTTCACCGCCTTGGCATTCTCGTCCGAGTAAAGAGTGGATCCCTCCAAAGCCATCATTCCGCAAGCTGCGCGATCAGCAACCGCCTGGACCCACGACATGTGCTCCTTGTTGAGGCCTCGGATAATTTAAATAAAATCAAATGACAATGATCTGACGAATCTACTGGACAAGTAAGGGTGCTGCAAAGCCCGTGGTATGCGATGCCGGCAGTCAAAGAAGCCTCCATCAGAGCACCGGTGCCAGCCGTGAGGTCAAACACTGCCTCCGCGCAAAACTCCTCAATGATGGCATTCCAATATGCTATCGGCTTCGACTCGTTCCAGAACAAGGGTACGTCGGAGCCGTGGCGATCCTGCCAGTCCTCTGGCGGTGTCGGGAGGTCGCCGGTTGTTGCCGGAGCAATGATCTTCTTCTTGGTGTCTGCAGACACGAGGGGCATTTCAGAAACCGCACGGTACTCCACGCCTGAGTAAGTGCCTTGGTACGTAGAAGCCTCGCCGCAGACTGTGAAGGAGCCTTTCTTCGTCGTCTGAATCTTGGTGCGTGCGACCGGGAACTTAACCGCTCCTGTCTCCACCTTCTTTGCAGCCAGCGGAACGCGGCGAGTGCGACCAGTTCTCGGCGGGCACCCACCTGAGTACACGATGGTGCACTCCTCGGTGTGCTGCTGGTTCAGCAGGAGGTCTTCCTTAAAGAACCAGGTGCAGCCTTTGAGCCTTGGAGCCTGGGAGCCTTGTCACATCACCCCGCCAAGACTCGGACACGCGGCGAATTTCCCGCATTCTGCCGTCGAAGAGTACAACGAAATCCTCGGGCCCAGAAATGTCTTTGGCAAAGGCACAGATCTCTTTCCATTCCTCGCTTGGCGGAGTGCCCTTGAGCCACGGGTCGGTACCAGCCTCTGCCAAGAGATCCGCACTGGCAACGATCAGGCGGTGCGAAGAGTTTAAGGTGCCCTTGTGCGTGAAGACCTTGCCGCAACCTCTGAACGCATTGACTAGGCAGTCCTTCGAGATCTTGTTCGGTACCGAGAACGACACGAACTTGCGGCGTTCCGTTTGCACCGCCTTCCACTGCCGCTCACGCTCGACACATTCCTCGGGTGTGTCAGCTTCAGAAGCCTTGGCCAGGCTTTGGAGCAAACTCGGAGCAGGAGCCGCAGATGTGGCACCAACGGACTTCGTGCTGTTGTCGAACTTGTCGACAATGATCTTCATCTGAGTGATAAGCGCACATGGCTCCTCGTGCTCCGTGTCATCCGAGCTTCCAAGCTGTGCAGCTGTCAATGCCTTTGCAAGGCCATCTTCACTCGAAGCCAGCATGCAGCAATCCTTGTAGTACTTCCCCGACATCAGCTCCAGCAGCAAATCCAAAAGCATGCCAATGGCTTTGTTGAAACCCTCTTTAACAGCTCCAATCTTGGACTGCGGAACAGGGCGCTCCACGTCCTCTGGGTCCTCGCCGTCCATGTCGTCCTCTCCAGCAGCCCCTTGATCAGCATCAGCATGGCAGAGATATTTCTCCCAACATGTGGAAGGGCAACGGAGTTCAGCCAAAATCCCTGTCAGCTTAACCTTGTCCGGCTCAGGCAACTTGTTCGCCAGCTTTGCTGCATAATCGAAGACCTCTGTCAGTGTTCAAGCTGCCGATGACTTGCAACACTCCGCAAAAAAAAAATACACACGCTAGTCAGAATAGTTACAATGCCTGCACCACCAGCATGCGCGACAACCAAAAGCCAGCATCGCCTGTCTTCCGGTCTCGATCCAGAAACTTCTCGGTGCATTTAGCTGGCGTGACCATGTTCATGCGCAGGGCCAGCGTCAAGGAGTCGATCATCCAGGCCGTCAGGTCTACAGCGTTTCTGGTAGCAGATGCGAGCTTGTTGGTCAGCGATAACAGCTTGCTCAACTTCGAGTACTGACTGCTCAAGATGCCCCGCCCAAATTCCAGCTCCAATCTCCGGGCAGCCTTCTCCACGGGACCGGATGGACCCCGCAGCACTGCAACAGCTGCTGTGGCAGCCTGGTGTAAGGCCTTGTTGTACAAGGTGTTGTTGTACCTCAAGTTCTGTTCCTCACCATCCTGGACTTTTTCGACCTTGAGCAGCTGGACAGTCTTTGCAAATGTCCAAAAGGTGTCGGACAGGCCAGGGTGCCCGAGTGCCTTGACTTTCTCTGAAGCAAGATTGCGACTCTTCGCAATCTCCCCTGCGCTGGAACACAAGCGAACCTGTATCGTGACAGTGCAGCCACACTCCCACAAAATCTCCAAAACTGCTTTGTCCTGCCAAGTGCAAGCACACATCAGTCAGATGAATCAATAACATGTCATGTCATGTGAACACAAGCAGCAACTGTCCTGGGAGACTAGGGCTTTGAAGACGGCCAAGTACCAAGCCCACAACACAAACACGCCGCTAGCAAGATGCAACGAGCTGTTGAACTCTTCGTGAATCACGTCAGATGCTGACTCCGTGAGGACAATCATCTCACAAGGCCACGTCAGCCGGTTTCGTGACGTTTTTTGTTTCTTCTTGGCAGCTTCACGCGATACAACTGTGCTGAAAGCAACTTTCTTGGAGAAGAAAGCGTCTTCGAAAGTTTGGAGATCCTGCCAGCACACATCCTCAGACGCACTGGCAAAAGCTTCGGTGGCCAGCCACAGCGCGAGGCCACTGGCTTCGTAAAGTCCAGATGATGTCAGGGACGCTTGGCAGTCATCTTTGCTCCACACAGCCTGACAAACGACAACGGTCAAACAATAATAAATGACATTGATCGACATGCGCCCGCCTGTATCCGGTCAAATCCCCCATCTTGGCTTCTGCGTTGATGGCAAGCGGCGGTGTCTTGAACATCTGCTTGGCCTGCGGAAACTTCAGAGGGAGCTGGCTGCGGACCTCGGGCAGGCACGGCATGCAGCACTGTTAGCCGCGAGACGGGACACGGTATCAAGAACTCAGCGAAGGGCCCATGGCACGATGTTTGCCAGGGCTTCTTGAGCACTGGCCTGCTTCACATGGCGTGCCACACATCATCATCATCACACACGTCATACTGCTCCGAAAATGCTGAGCTCAGAACGGTTGGGTCGGTGGGCAAATCCGGCACTTTTGCCATTGAGCGCGAGTACAGAAGCCTGGGAACCTGGGAGCCGAGTAGCCTTCCACGGAACCGTTTGGAGTCTTGCGGTGCAGCGCAAGGCAATAAGACTGCTGCAGTGCAGGACATGCTGCAAACAAACACAAACTGACGTCGACAGCGGTCCTTTGTAGTCGTGGGCCCTGCCACAGTTTGTCGACGAGCGGCTTGAGCTTTACATGTCCATTTAAATCAAGTTGGCAGCAAAGTAAGGAAGCATCAAAATCCTACTATGCTGCTGATGAGTCATCTAAACATGACGACCCCAAGCCGGCGCCACATGGACCTTGGAGCCTGGGAGCCTAGGAGCCTGGGAGACGCCTCAGCTGGGCATCAACGGCAGCGAGGGCATCCTGGTCGCGGCGGAGCTGCTTGTTGGAGACGTCCACCTGTTCCTTCAAGCGCCGTTTGTGCTCCACCAGCTTGGAGCGCTGAGCCTCAAGGAGAATGTCTGAGTGCTTCCTGGGGTTGCTCATGCTCACGATGACCATCTCGATCCCGGACCTGCGTACCTTCAAGTTGCCGGTGCGGATCCGCTCTGCCAGGTCATTGCCCTTGAGCATCCAGAAGTACCCCATCGGATGGAGAACCGGCGGTGGACTGGTTGATGACGCCCTCGCAGCTGAACTCGAGCATGTCCATGTCGAGCTGCTTGAGGGCAAAAAAACCCAACGTGGCCGCTGCGTGCGTGGACGAAGAAACCGGGAACAGGGATGCACCGGGATCCGGAAGGAACGGATCCCCCTGCGCAGCGAACACGTGGTTCCGGGCCAAGAAGTTCACGAGGGCAGATGTGTCCTCCTTGCTAATGTCGAAGCCGCCGCCGCCGCCGCCTTCCTCCGACTTGACCGCCGTGTAGCACATGAAGCCCAAACCCCCGCCAAGGTCGGGCCCGGGTGCAAGGGTCTGCCAGGCGCGGCTGGTCGTGGCCTGCACCATGACGTGCCTTGATCGGACGCAATACCCTGGACCCCTAAACCCCTAAACCCCTGAACCCTTGAACCCCTGAACCTCTGAACCCCTGAGCCTATAATTAATATAAAATTAAATAACAATAAATGAAAAGACTTCCTGGCGTCCGATGTACTCGAATTCAAGGCTCCAGTTCGCCTCGTCGTGGAAAGGCAGCTCCTGGCAAGGATCCGAGAACAGCGGAACATAGTAGCCGCCATCCTCCACCACAATGTCTCTTGCAGAGCACGCTTCGGCCAGATTTTTCTTGGTGAACAGTGTGAGAACCACGAACTGGGTCTCCCCAATGGCTTCTGTCAGCTGGCGGCGCGATGAGCGCAGCTTCGCCTTCACAGGCTTGTCTGCAGCAGACGGGGCCGCCCCCAACTTGCGCATGGCTTCCTTGCGCTGCCATGTGATGGCGTCCAGTTTCGTCGCCAGAAACAAGGCACGGAAGCCGATCTCCGGTGACTCGTAATAGGAATCCTTCTCAAACTCGGAAGCCGCCTCCACACTCTTCTCGTAGTCACTTGCCCTCAGCGCACAGTAGCCGAGACGCGCCCAAGATCTCTGAGACTGAGTCTCTATCACTGGGTTCTCCTCCGGCTCGGCGATGATGGTGGGTGCCATATCTGCGGCGGCTGCTTTAGGATCGGCTGCGGCCATTTTCGCAGGCGGCATTGGGACCTAGTAGCCTATGTGAGCCAGGGAGCCTTGGAGCCTGTTGCCGCAGAAGCCTCGTATCAGATGCTGATAGTCACATGGCAAGACTGACACAACACACTGTCGCATGCAACTGTCATGTTCTGACAACTCAGCCACACAGCCAACCATGACTGAAATGAAACGACTTTGGGCCTGCCCCTCGACGGCCAGCTTGTCGACGACAACAGCCTCAGACAATGCAGTGACAAGTGACATGTGCATTGAAGGGTCATTTGCGTGCGTTGAAGGGTCATTCGTGTGCATTGAAGGGTGACAGGTGCTTCTTTCATCATTAAGGCACTGCTAACGTGACCCTTGGATGCACTCAAAACACCCTTGGATGCATGGAACAAGAGCTGCCGGGACCCTTGGATGCATCCAAAACACCCTTGGATGTAGCGCCGCGGCGATTGGCGCGAATCCTGCCTGTATTGAAATGAAAGAGGAAGGCTATTGCAAGGGACAAATGGAACGTCAATACACCAGGGATTGGCACCAATCCATGGTGTATTGCATCCTACCATTGTCCTGCAATTAAACAACGGCAGGGGAAGTGAATTGCAAGGCCGTTTTGTCCTGCCAATACGCCCCGGATTGGCACCAATCTGCAGTGTATTGAGCAGGGGCTTGCAACAGGCTCTGTTGCAGGCACCTGCTGCCCCAGACAAGGTTAACCCTGCCTTGCGACACAGGCCCACTGTACATTCCTGTGCGAACGACTAGACTTAAAATGATTCGACCCCAGGAAAATTCCTGCCTGCGAACCTGGGAGCCAAGGAGCCAAGGAGCCAAAGAGCACTGTCATTAACTGCTGCAGTACAGGACTATGACGCACGAACTTTCTTGGGTTTCTTGGGGGGCAAATGCCTCATCTGTACACCAGCACCGGACAATGTCCGCTTCTGGGACAACCCGCGGACGGTGCGGAGGAAATTCCAGATATCGGCCTCTCCATTGATCTTGTAGGTGGTGCGCCTCTTGGTAGCAAATTGAGTGGGCAGTGGTGTGCCGATAGCAACCCGCCACTTCGACTGGGGCAACTTCTCACAGAATCGCAGGGCCTCGACGATGGCACGGGTCCTGACTGATTGAACTTAAATGAACCCAAACCCAACCCTAGACAATAAACCCTTCAACCCGAAACCCTTGAACCTCAGTGTCTGTGCCACCGAGCAACAGTTGACAGCTCCTGGCGATCTCAAGGCCGACCAGCCTCGAAGTTGCAGCTGTGTTGAAGGACAAGAACGACTTCTCAGCATCAATTGTCGGATTGTCCAAGTATGCCAGAATCGCCTCCCTGGAGGCAAGCACTTTGCCACAGCCGTACGCAATGATCAAGGCAGGAACCTGGGATGAAACACGTCAACGTGTACAAGCAGTGACGATCTAAGCCTGGCATCATCCGACTTTTAAACATTTTAATTAAAAGCTTGGGACCAGTCGGTCGCTGCGGACCGTCTCCACATCGGACAGTTGTGCGAGGACCAGGATATCGGCGGATTCATACTCGTACGGTCCAAGAATCTGGAAATGCTTGTTGCCTTGCAGCGACTTGCTGTCCGTGTAGCGACGATAGACCGGACATAGCTTCAGAGCTCGTTTGCGGAGGATGCTTTGCAAGACGGATGACCGATCCTTCTCGTGGCCGTGCTGCACCATGCGCAAAACGCCAAGCCGTGCCGCCGTTGTTGTGTAAGCAATCTTGCCAGAGGATCGTCTCCGCGCTTCCTCTTGGTGACCTTGGCTGGATGACAATGACAATGTGTATGACACTTCAAATGGCTTAGCACGGAAAGCAACCGTTGTGCTGCTGAGTCACCGTCATATTTCTGCTGTGTGCGTGCACGGAAATTCTCCAAATGCTTGAGGGCATCTGGTGTGGGGCGGGCGAAAGCCCAACGTGTGCCAGCAACGCTGTTCTGGGCAGAGGCAGACGCTGCCGGCAAAGGCAGGCCCAAGCCCGGCACGAAAGAGGCCGGCTTCCACGACCTGCCTTTCGAAGCAGCTGCCTCTGCTCTCTTCGCTGCCTCGGCGGCGGCTGCTTCACGGCCTCTGACAATTGCAGCCAGAGTTCCAGAACGTGCCTGGCGTGGCTTGCTGGGCCCCTGCTTTCGTTCTTTGTTGTAGGTCATGCGGAACCGACGCCCAAAGTGACGAATCCACAGTTCACCACAAAGAACCCCGAAGTCAGTTGGGGTCAGCACGGCACCTTCGCTCTCCGGCTTCCGGAAAAATTCTTCCTCTCGCTGGGGACCTTCAACTGCCACCTCGAGGATGGAGGCAATGGTTGAGCCATTTGGAGTGAGGGGCCCGGAATGCGCCTCCAGCTGTGTGAGCAAGTGTCCCAAATCCCTTTCCAGCGTGGTCGTGTTGATCTTCAAGGACAAGAAGAAAGCAATGAGGGCATGACA